TAAAAAATTTTGGAAGTCATTGAATTTGTGGAAATTTTGAAGTCATTGATTTGTGAAACGGAAACTCTATATGACCATGATCGATGCGTTATTTTCAAATCAGAGCATGAGAACGGATGTGTACAGGAGCAGTTACAGTTACCATTGTCCATTTCATGTGAGAATAGAACAATAATAATAACATTGATCAATAAATTTTATAAATTAGACTTTATTTACGAACGATCAACCAACCGGAAGCGATAGTTCACTTAAAACTTGTTGTTATACAATGTTTACAAAATTTTAGCCTTCCTCAAGATGTTGAGAATGCAAGCTACCCTATATTTTAAAACAGTAGATTCGTACACGTCGTACTTATGAATTTGTTCTTGAATATTGGGCGCATGGTCTTTGATTGATAGAGCAATAATACTGAAGAGTTTCAAGAAAATGGGGATATTTAATTCTCTCGGATGCTTTCACATATCACTGCATCTTCATCACGTATTTTCTCCCTCCTTTCCTATTGCATTTCCTATTTCCTATTGGGAGTACATCCGAAGTATTTAATCGGGAAATCTGGAGTTCGAATCCCGGCAAGAGTTTTGCGTCTTTTTTATTTGTTCTGCATCAAGAAACCAAACGACTGCACAGTGTTTTGACTGACTGAAAAGTGATGATGTGGATAACCAGCAAGCTGTAGCAGACAGCACGACAACAGTTTCAGCAGCACTAAATGATTTGAAGCCTTAGGAGTAGCAGTGAAGAATAATAGATCGAGGTGAGATTCAACCATACAGGGAAGCAGAAATGAAGATATCTTATTAGATATTGTAATGTCAATATTACTATGTATTCTTTTAAATAAATAATATTGGAATAGTTACCGGTAGTTTAATCTATGAATATATTTCATTTCTTTTCTTACTGCAACAACATCCTTTTGAAATTAAATTATTCGCATAATTTTTCCTTCTCGATTTTCTTGCGATAAAATTATTTTAAAAGAAGGCGGTACATCCAGTAAATATGGTATTAAATATTTGCTTTTGCTTTCGAAATTTAAACTCAGTTATTATTATTATTTTTTTTTTACTTGGGATATTTCGAACATTAAACTAATTAAGTTTCCATACTCAGTAAAAGGAAATTTATTTGTCCATTTTCTATTTTTATTAAGAAGACTGAAAATCAAGAAATTATGTCTTCCGTTTTTTTTGGGGGGGGGGAATTCTAAGCAGAGCAGAACTTATTCAAAATCTGCGCCAGTATGAGTGTGCTGTTTCGTCTTAATTTTTAATTTTATATCGACGTGTTTCTCTTCTAGTATGATTCTGAAGCTTACTTCATTTCCAGCTCCTGTAAGATTTCATCTGTATTTTAGGTAGGTTTGAAATTATGTAATAACACAAACGGAAAGCGACGAGCGGATATTCTTCTTAGCTATTACTAAGGTTCGAGTTAAAACAAATTAAATAGCATTAGATTTATATACATCGATTAACAATAAATTTTACTATTTTAATGACCGTTATCGAACAACAAAAATGACTTCCAGTCTTACATCGAAACATTAATTTGATGTTGACATATGAACAAGATAGATTCAAATAAAATGATTTTTATTTCCGTGCTTAAATTTGAATATAAATCTGAAATCAAATATTTTAGAAATTATTAAAGAAAATATTGTGCAGATTTTACGATATACATAAAACTGATAAAGGAAATCAGGTCCGTTATTTCCTTTTTGTCTAGCTCATTGCTATAATGGATAAATTATTGAAGAAATACGCAAGATATGCGAATACTGTTTTGTTGTCATATCTTTATATGTAAGACTAATAATGAAAGTGCTGTATTATGGTTATATGGAAGAATAATAAAGGAGATAATATCCCCTATTTTCTTTATTAGTCAACATATCATTCTTATGAACTCTATATTGTTCAAAAATTGAAGAAACCAAAATAAAAATAATGAATAAGGAGGACATTTCATGCTGATATATAAGGGTGTTTCAGAAAATCGGTTACAATCTTTCAGGAGAGTTAGAGTACACCTAGAAGATGGAAAATCACATAGCAATAGTTGAAAAGTCTTTTCTGGCGCTGTAGTAACAACACAAAACACAAGAAAGACGAGACATGAAACAGGGCGAGGAAACATGTTTATTATGCGCAGTACAGCATAAATCAAAGAATAAGAACAGAAATAGACAAAGATCGTCATTAAAGAAAATGTTCGAAATTACGATCCAAACCGTGATGCAGGTGTCACATCTTCGGCGCTTTGCAGACCTGCATCACATATGGAAGATGCATGCCGCACGGTTCATGCATCGTGGTCTCAGGTCGTAATTTCAAACACCTTCTTTGATGATCATCGTTGTCTGTTTTTGTTCTTATTTCTTGGTTTCTGCTGTACTAAACATAATAAACCTGTTTACTCATCATTTTCTTTTGCTTTCTATCTTGTGATTTGTGTCATCACTCCCGAGCCAGGAAAGCGTTTCCGACCATGAATTGCTGTACTATTTTCCATCGTCTATATCTCCTGAAAATTTGTAACCGATTTGCTGAAATACCCTGTACCCATAATCTTGGAAATATCACAGTCCTAAAAATAGTTTTCACAACTGTACAATGTATTTTAAGATTAAAATTCAAGATAAATGAATCAAGATTGAAAGTTTAATTAAGAATTATAAAATGATTAGTTTTAAATTTAAGGCATGCTTTTATGAGGGAGTGTTGCTAATTCTTACGATGTTCAGATTATTTAAATTAAATTATGTGCTTGCATTCGATTCAAAATTTATATAGAAGTGTTGTTAAAGGAAAATTTTAAAAACTGAGTTCGTTTATTTTTTATGCATGTGATATCAAGTTTCTGGTTTAGAAAACCCTCAACGACAGTAGCTCTTAACTTTAGTACATACCTGTCTCTTAATTTCTGAAATTAAATCTAACATAAATTTCTATAAATTATTTTTAATGCTTAACAACATAAAATTAACCATTATAATTACAGTACACAAACCATCATAATTATAGTACACAAACCATTATAATTACAGTACACAAACCATCATAATTACAGTACACAAACCATCATAATTACATACACAAAATGTACTATTCAAAGCTAATATTAAAAATGACAAAAATTAAAAAGTAAAAATTTGTTTAGTCGTTCCCATTTCATTATATACATGAAATGTTATAACATTTTACATTTTTTATAACTGTTAATACACAAATTATATTTACTTCTCGTTGGCAATTGTTTAGTTGGGTAAAAAATGTAACAAATGTTTAAAATTTTTAACATTAATTCTTAACTCTTTATTTTTAAATAAACCTAAATTCTTTTGTTCTCAGAATCTACTTATGAATACATCTTAAAAACCAGGATTTTTCAAACAGATTAAAACTTGGCAATTCTTAGAAAGGGAAAATAATTAGGTAGAAAAATGTTTTTAAAGTATCAAAATTTCTAGATTGTATTTTTTATTACTAAAAAGAAGAGAATATGCTTTGTTTCATTGTGTGTAAAATTTAATCTTTCAATAAAGAATATTAAAACTTAACTTCAAAATGCAAATTATAATCAAGCAGCTAATTTATTAAAATGATGATTTCCATTTTTATTACTGATAAACGGAATGAAAATCTTCAGCGCAATGATTATCGGACTGAAAATCAGTATTAAATGTGTCACACAACAATGAAATTTATAAAATAAAAGTCTCAGTAATGGAATAAATTGTGCCTTTTAGCTATTGCCACTTCCTAATTGAAAATTCTTTTCTTGAAGTCTGTTTACATGTCAGAGAAATAAAATTTTGATTTGGCGCATACTTTATATAGGATTTAAGCCACAATTTACTTTGTCTGTGAAACCTAAAGCTATTTAATGTACCTATTAAACATTTTGATCGATTCAAATAACTGTAATGGTGTAACGATTCGAATAACTATTCAGTTGCTCTTTGATAGAGGTCTACAATTTAAGAATGCTTTAAGTAAATTTAAGAGATAATAAAGTAAGCTTACTTTTACCATTAATTAATCCTGATTATTAAATATTAAATATTAAATAGTGATACTATACTTTTCATATCATCATTACACAGTACATATTACCTTTCGTATTTAAAACGAATTTGAAAGATAATCAAATGTGACAAGAAAAACGTTTAGCAGAATTTCATGATTTAGAGTCTTTAATTTAGTCTTGAAGTAATGTTTATATCAATAAAAGGCAAGCTATGCCATTTTGGCTATACTGCTGTCAAGGAATTCAGTTCACTAATTATTCAATCCGAGGCCAGCTGAAACTATTTGGCAAGTTCCATTAATGAAAAACACTATATCTCTTTTACTGAATTCAGGATTAGGTATTTGTAACTGGTAAATAAAACTACTGTGTTTAATTGAATCTATATACGAATAGTGAGTCTATTTTCACCATCAAATCTTTCAGACAGACATACTGCTTCGTTCCGGACTACTAACAGCAACAACAACAAAAAAACAAAACAACAACAACAAAAAAAAAAAAAAGCAATTTAAAAGCAAATAACTTTTTCCAGAATAATATAAACAATTAAACATCGATGATTGTCAGTTGTCTTGAATCTATAATAAAGCCAATGTGAATATTTATTTTAGTAGTAAATTGTCAGAAATTCTTGGCAAAATTGAGCGTAGAACTTAAGAAGGGGTTTACTTAAATAGTTCTCTCATGTCAGAAATTCTTCATTATATTTTCTATGGTAATCTGCCTGTTGATGAAAGTTTTGAGAAAAACAGATCTCTTAAGAGCATTTTAATAACTGCAAATTAACCAAAGCAGAAACTTTTCAAAAGCAACAAGCTACTGAATATTATTTTGAGTCTTCAGAAAGTTTTAGATAAATGGCTTATGTTTCGTTACAGGCAAAAAGAGATTACCTTGATGTAAGATTATGAAAAGCAGATAACTCATATTTTCAGATAGCAACGCTGACCTACCTTCTGCAAGCCTGTTCAGCGCAATCCCTAGTGCTGCCAAAATTCACGGTCTCTTCTTGAAACCACACTATTCCGTAAAGCAAAACCCTTCACCGATCGCAAGAACTATACGTCTCTCTTCTCTTTCTCTCAAATCTCCTCTAAACTAAGGTTTCCAACTGCTGAGCATCACCCCCAAATCAGGCTGAAGCGAAAAAGTTATATTTAGCTCTCTTCCCCTTACTCCGTTAAATGAAGTTGGGTATGCGCGGACTGTGAGTCACAGAATGATAGGTTATGCTGTCGTCTCTGCGCGCGCGGAGACAACCAAAACCAAGGGATGGTTAAGGTTCTTTCGCGGGGGCGGACTGGAGCAGTTAGTTTGAGAATTTAAGGAATTCAGTTTGTTGCTGGAGCTGTTCGTGATTTTATTAAGCAGTAGGATTTATGAAACAATTTTAACAAACCCCAGTGAGCCAGTTGGGGGTTGGTGAAGTTTTCAGCAATAGGTTAAAAACAATTCCATTTTGACCTTACTTTCTCAGCATTACTCGTGCGTTGAACTGAATCATATATAAGCTTTCATTTATCCAGCAAACAGTGAATGAGAATGTTGGTATTTATGTTTACTTTTTCGTTTGCTGTTCAAGTTGCTATTGTGGTTTGATGCCAGTTGGCTCACGCATGGTTTCTGCAGCAAGAGAATGCAGCTGCAACCACAATTAACAACAGTAATTACTATCATTTCCAATAGTTGTAGCCAATGTTTAGGCTTAACGATTTCTGTTCAGATTTCATTATCATTGAAAAATTTTTAAGAATGAGAAATGGAAATGTTTAATTTTAAAAACTGTATATAATAGGTTTTTATGCAATTTAATCCAACGACATTATATAAAAAGAGTCATTTTGATTAAAATCTTATAAATGACAAAAACCAAGCCTAAATACATCTTCATCTGCGGCAAGAGACTAAATTAAACGCAATGGTAGGTTAACAACATGCGTCCATTTTTAAATGCAGCGAAAGTTGCTGTTTAAAATGTTCCATAAATTTTATAATAATGGTTTTTACTTAGAAAATAGTCCTCATGAATTTTTCAGTTTTAAAATAAGAAACTTTAAGAAATATATTTTAAGAAATCAGTTAAAAATACAAATAATATTTAATATATATTACATAAAAATGTATTACACTAATTTAAGTATCTTTTATAATTCAATTTTTCTTCATATAATGAAGCAGATCTTTCAATATTTTTCTTCGAAATTTACTTGATTATTTAATTTCTGCTGTCTAGAGAGAATAATCATATTTTAACCATTTCTTAAAGAAATGAAGACCTTATATAAGATTTTAATTTTGTATGCTTATTGGTGCTTTTATCACCATTAGCCTTAACTAGCAAAGTGAATAATATACTTAATGCAACTTTTAGATTTGACTAATGTTTCTGTATACAACGCTCGTAAATTCTTTAAAGTAATCGTTTATTAGTTACATTTTCATGACATTTGAAAGAGCTAAAATTGTAACTGCTTTAGTGTACATAATTATTAAACCATTGCGTTTCTTAATTTAGACATTTCTGGTGAAATTTCTATTGCTAAATCATAACACATTTCTTTTAAATAATCTACCTCTAATGACATTAATTTTACACCGGTTAGGAACTGAAAAAATATCTCGTTTAATTTTCATGCCTCCGTTACAATTGTGAGATCGAAATGCATATTGCCGTTATCCATTCTACTCTTATAAACTATATTTTTCTTTTTTCACCAGTCTATTTGTGGCAGTCTGCTTCATTAATCTTTCTTTTTCGTTTCTCTCCAAATTCTGTTTCTAAATTCTGCTTTAAAACTGACTGATCACATTTATCACAAAATATTTCCTTTCATCTCCTGCAAAGTAAGAGAGAGATCTCTGTCTTAATATATTATTTTATATTATAAAACATACTCTAAAACTATTTTCAATTTTTTCCTTTTTAAGAGAATTAAATAACTTATCCTTCATTCTGTCAGTATGTAAAATAAAACTTGTAGTTTTCATCTTAGAGAGATTACGATTTCATAAACTCTTTCAGGCAATTAAATAATAAATTCTACGTTTCTGTCAACTTTCGGCCGAACAGTAGCCGAATGCGTAAGATCAGTTAACACTACTAGCTAATCCCGGCTTCAGTGCCCACAAAAGGTTGGATGCATGAGATTTTCCCCATGTGTAACATTTAATACGAACCATTTTTTCTAAGAAAATCTTTCAGGAAAACATGCATCCTAGTTTCAAGCGTATATTGCTACAATCGATTACCAGTCATTAATAATTGCATCATCGTTAATGTTTCTTACCATTTCAAGTGATTATTTACTTTTGTCTTATAGATTTCTATTACAAGAAAGGCTGGTTTGACCTTAGAAGAAATTTCTTGCGAAGCAATTTAATTTAGACGTACCCAGCTAATCGACCGTTGCCGTCAGATAATACTTTTAAGTCCATACATCATTAGCGTTTAAAATTTCATTTTTAACTCCATTAATATATTAATTCAAGGGTTTAATTGTATTAAATTTTGCGAATTTAATAAGTAGATTGGGATTAATTTTTTATTAAAAAAATTCGATCAGAACAATAAACAATACGGCCACCTATTTTCCGATTGATTTTATGCTTTAATTTCACTTTTTTTTAAATTGAAGGATTTATAGCCACCATTTGTTTACATTTCTTCAGGTTTCAATCTTTTTTGAAATTCTAATTCTGTGAATTTCTTTATAAAAATCAGATTTTTAAAAATGGATTAGTTCACATCATTTGACTTCGAATCAGGAAATAAAAAAATTTAAAATAGTTTTTTTTTCTTTCTTTTTTTTTTTTTTTTCTCTGTGCATACAGAATATCTTAAAATAGAGAAATAAAGCCAAATTTTTCTGATACGCTCTTTTGTAACGTTATCATAAAATCTGCCGAGTAATACTTCCACGATTTAAGTTAAAACTTTTATTTCTATAAAACTAAATATTTTATTTTATTGTTTCATATGGACAATAAAACATTAAAAAAAAAGATATGCATTACTTTGTCGTTTAGCACTCTATCTTTCTGGAAAAAAAAAGTGCTGATGACCTAATTACCTCCCGTAAGAGATAAAATTATTTAAGTAATAATCGCTAATATAAAAAAGCTATACAGCTTGGGAGGCAATTAAAATAAAAGATGCAACAGGACTAGGACTTAAAAGACATATCTCATGCTACAAAAAACTTAATTTGAAAATTCAACCAGTCGTATTTAAACTCTCAGTGGAACTTTAGGGGCGAAACTTATAGGGTATTCCTTGTTCTGGTAAAACTTGATCTGTGCAAAAACCCTAACAGATATGGAGTGAATTATCGCTATGGCGAAAAGTAACTGCGAAAACTTGGAAAGGTTTAAATAAAGCCCTTTTATTTAAACATAATTTTGAACTTAAACACACGTTCTTTTGCTAATACAAGTAAGCACAACTCATGATGATGCAACTAAAGTAGCAGTGAGTTTCAATTTAAAACGTAGAATAATAGTCAAAGACTAAATAATTAAATTTTAATTTAAGCTGGTTCAAAAGTTCTAACCGGCATATAAAATCCAAATATCAGCAGCGATAACGCAAAGCTGACTAATTACAATTCACCAAAGCTGGCAGGAACTAATGAAACGTGCCCTGAAAGACAAAAAACACGCTGTGTCTTACAATCCCAAAACTTCAGTTTAAATGCTATCTAACTAATTAAATTGCATTTCTTGTGAGGAAACGGAAGGGAGAAGTTTTAAGCTGAAATTATAAATAACTGGTTAATTCAAATGAAAATCTTATAAACTTATTAAAATTTCAGATTTTGCTTCGCTATTTTAACACTTGTGCGAACTGCATAATTAAAATTTTGACATAAAATGATTCTTAGCGATATTCAAATAACACTACATGATTAGATGAATCAATTTGCGAATGCTAGAAGTATCTGATTCCATATCTAGTCCATTATTTTATGTCCCCATTACCCACGTGTTCTCTATCCAACAACGGCATGCTACGCTGCTGCCACGGAAAAAAAGAAATAAGAAGCGGAAGACGCATAATTTTAATGCTGACTGAGAAGAATATTTTTGTTTCGTTTAATTATAAAAGAAAGTATAAGCTTGTAATACAATTCAATTATAATGACTGCTAAAAAACGTAACGCGAATAGACGATATTTCATACTATGGTACCCGCCGAACGATCACTAGGGTAAGCGCTGAACTTTCGCATTTCTGAAAGATCCTCTCCTAATCATCCCTGTCATATTTCATCAATCAGTTCTACTAGTTGACCCTAATTTTCAACATCATAAACATTAGGGTAAATATTAGGTGGCCTCCCTCACTTCTACATAACATAACATAACATCATGTAGTGATCAGTCAGCTGGTTTATATACATATGGTATAACACTGAATGCATAACCTTGCTAAACAGCAACAGAGAATTCAGTGTACCTAGAGAGTTAATCATACACAAAATTGTTATCTTCCTGTTTCTTTTAATTTCTACCACACATAAATACACTAAAATAAATTTTAAAACAGAAAAAAACGCAGGTGCGAATATAATTTACATAATTTGAGAACACTTGGTGCTATGCCATCAACTATATTTCTGTACAAATAAAGCATCTGACGACATTTATGAATGTACTAAGAATTACGTACCAAGAACACATATGAGCGTTCTTCCGGTTCGAAACAAAACAGGTACTTGTAACAATATCAAGCAGTCTAGGGTTAATTCAGGTATTCTTAATCTAATTGTATTGTCTACAAAACTAGGTACCTCATTTTAGGAAGCAGTGCCATAAAAATATGTTAAAGAAAAATGAACCCATGAAATACAAAGAGAACGTAATATGCGCAAATTTATCCATACGAACTTAACTGTCTGTTACAATTTGTTGACACTATGCTGTGTCAAATGTTAACTGAGAAGCTCAAGGTTGCCAGAGCACATGACTAAGAAAGATGGTTAGCAAGAAGCAAACTGCTACCGTGCAACGTCGAAAATGGAATGCATTGTCAAGAAAGTAATTCTTTTAAATTATAGTACCTAGTGAATATAAGTCTTTTTTAATTTGATACTTTAAAAGGTGCTTCAAGATGTTTTTTGAAGTTGATATTTAGGAATTGTAACTTCATTTTTAAATAACTTTAAATAATTTTTCATAGCTGATTTGGCTCCTCTCCAAATCGTTCACCTGAAGCAAGTTCCTCACTTTTATTCCGACTCTAATACTTATACGACCTTGATATTATGAAGACGTGCAGGGAAGGGCTGCCATTTTTCTGTTCACTTATTTTATTTAACTTTTGTATTCCTATACTTTTCTATGGGTCTCGAAAAAAATGAAATTGCTTAAAATACTTAATAGTTTATGTATGAAGGATTTTGCCGAGACGTATTGTAGGTGATATTTGAATACCAAGGTTATTTATACATTTTTAGACGATTTTCATTGCATTTGCATAGAAATATTTTACCTAAAACTGTTATGTTTTCAGTGTTTCATTTGATAATCCTTTTTCTTCATTATCTTTCTACACCGTATTTTCCAAGACAATAAAGTTTTTTACTTCCTTGTACGAATTAAAAAGGAAGTATTGTAATCGCGAAAAGTTTCAGGCAACATATTTCAACGAAAATATCCATTTTGACAGCTATCGAATGCAATTTAACGATGTTTGCGTGATATCTGTGCGTAAGAACAGAATAAAAGACACCTTTCCTCCAAAAAAATTATAAAACTGCTTTAAAATTAATTCTGAAGAGAATTTTTCGTGGCGTCCGTACGAACGTATGTACGTACGTGCGTACGTACGTACATTCGAAAGTACGTATGTACGTATCTCGCATAACTCAAAAACGAGTAGCCTCAGAACGTTGAAATTTTGTATATAGGACTGCTATAACATGTAGATGTGCACCTCGTATTTTGGTTGCAATCGGCCGCACCAAACGTATATAAATATATATCCACTCTGTTACCCGGCTCAGTGATCTCATTATCTTTACTCTTATATTTGTAAATTGTACATTTTTTGCTTTAAAAATGATTGAATTATGTTGTTTTTATCTTCCGGTTAAGGTTTTTATGCCTTTCGTAATTCTGGAAGCAATATTTGTACAATTATGAACAATTTAAAAGTTGTTTAAGTGCGGTTAAGTTTTAAATAACATGGCGGACATATTTGTTTACATTTGAAACAGCAGAATTGTAGATTTGTTGCCAATCTAGAGAGACTAAGCTTCGCAACATAAAAATAACGCGTTTATTTATTATTGCGAATTAAATCATGCTTAATCCTTTCTGGAATTTTTTCGAGGAAATAAGTGTTTAAGATTTGCTTCGTAATTTTTAATGCGGATATTTTGAGTTTTTATGTATATTTGCCTTGTCGCGAAGTGAGAGCTGAATTAATTGAATGAGAAATACTAAATCGTCTGTGAAAAACTGTTTCTCTTCTGTTTTGTTTGCTTAATTTCTTTCATACATCGTTTTAGCTTTATTATAGTATTTGAATAGAACATGTGGCAACGATAATTCTTCAAATGATATAAATTTTGTGCATTCAGAGTGTCGTTATATAGTAAACAAATATAGTGAATTTTAAAGAGTGCATTTATTCTATTGTGGTTTATGCGCTGTCGACGAAGTAGATTTAATTCAATCCAATCAATTTAAATGAAATTAAAAAAAAAAAAAAAATGCGTATAATTTAATATTCCCTACAAGGAAGTCATGTGGTGTACACATCAGATTTTTTTTAATAGCGAAAGAGGTATTTTATACCATTCCTCTTGAAAAGTTCTTCCTAAGTCCAAGGAGGG